AGCAATCTCCTGTCTGCTTAGGACTTGCAAGGCCTTTGACTAAGTGCTCACACTTCTGCACCTTTATCTAAGGGGTTAATCAGAAATGCAGATAAAAATAATGCTTGTCATAGTATTGATTATTAGACCAGAAAACAGAAACAACTTTAAATGTCTGAGAACAGAGAACAAGTTAATGATAACTCAGCAATATATCTAATGAAATACAGTTCAGCCTTTGAACATTTTATCTAGATTTTACATTTGCATGTGTGCATGTGTGTGTGTGTGTATGCGTGTGCCACAGTGCACATGTGGAAGCCAGAAGACAGTTTGCAAGATGGCTCTCCATCCATCATGTGGGTCCCAGGGATGGAACTCAGGTTTCAGGCTTGGCAGCAAGTGCTCTTAATCACTAAGCCATCTCACAAGCCCAATTCAACATCCTAAGCGATGCTGGAAGAAGTACATTCAGTGTCATTGGAAAGTATTTTATATTAGGTATATTTGCAAGCAAAGGATAAAAAAAAAACCAATGAAGTATATGTGGCAAAATCCTAATAGGGAATTCTATTTGGGTAAAGGAAATATCCCTTTTCAACTTTTGGGCATATTTCGTTTGGAGGAAACTCGCCTCATATTGCTGTTAGCAGAAAAAGTATCTTTACCTACAGGTAAGTAGAATATCAACAGCTTTTAAAACTAACCTGGAGACTTCTGAGAACTAAACCGGACACCTGCTTACCAAAGTTCAGTTGCAGTGACTCAGACTTAAGAAATTGACCACACCTGTGCTGTGGTTGGCACCCAGCAGGCACCCGGTCCCTCCCACATTTTCTGCCAACTCTGATGGGAAGGGAACAGGGAAAGGAAGAACCCAGAAAGAAGCCCCAAGAACTAGGACAAATGAATTTTCTAGCAATCATCAGCGCATCTCTCTGCCTCAAAGCAGATTTTCAATTGCTCAACAGGGGGATCCACTTTCTCCTGAAAGTTTCCTAGAGGGAGATTTAAGTGAGTCGGGCCTTGGCCAAGAAAATGCACCCTACTAAGCCCCCCTGGCAACCAGCTGCATGCTGAAATACCGTGCCCCAGAGAACACTATCCCTAACTGCCAGTCTTCTGACATGGGCAGTGTTGTTCAGAAGCCCAGAAGCGATAAAGATCACTTACATGGCACCTGGTGATAGGGCCCTCCCGGACAATGATACTGATAGTTCCATGGAGCCTGTGGGGAAGGATTGAGAGGAGGCCTCTGTGCACATGCTGGATACCTCTGAAGTTCAAACTGAGGGAACTCCCGGGACCTCAGAGGCCCAGGGAGGTCTTGCAGGTAACATGTGGAGGTGAGGGGCAGTGGCCTTTCCAGCTGCCTGATGCCCAGGACATCGTGCGGCTGGGAATCATACCCGGTGTCTATCGTGGGCACATCTGGGGCTGTTCTGTTCCTGTGGGGCCGGGGCCGAGATATCGTCTCTTGGCCACCGCTGGAGGAGTCCGCCAGAGCATTAGGCAAACTTGGGTCCGATGTGTCTGAGTCATGGCCAGTGTCGGGAGAGGCTGCCGAAAGCTGAGCTCCCAGCCGTCTATTGCGTTTTTCCAGAAGTGAAAACCGGTGCTCTGGAGGGAGGGCGCCAAGCACAGACTCCGACTCAGGCTCGCTGGCTTCGGATGAGCATGAGCAGAATCCCTTGCCAGGATCAGGGTGCCTTCTAAAGAAACTGGCATCGCTCTCCTCCAGGACTTTAGTGCGCAGGTCGGTGACCTGTTGTGACACGGGCTGGTGATGGGCAAGTTTCAGGGGAGGAGGGCGAGCCTGACAATGGTCTCCTGAAGCGTGGCGAGAGGCTTGGCGTGCTGACAAGCTGCTGGGTGCCATGTTCCTTGTATTTGGAACAGGTGGTTCCAATTCCTCTTCCAGGGAATATTCTGGGATTGGTTTCAGCAATTGACTTGGGAATGGTTCTGATTCGTCAACCTCCACAGGAATGCTTCGGCTCATTCTAGTTTCTGGAACAAGAGAAAACAAGCCACAGTCTCAGAAGATAGAGCCATGCTTGGAGCCCCCATCTTCTGACCTTAAAGGACCTGGTTCAGGATGTGGTTTAAATTAACAGTAGTGTGACACCACCGTCTGCGGGGCCCCAGTCACACCGAGTTGTGTACTCAGCCATTCCAGGCAAAGGCACTAATGTGTATTAAGATATTTTATCTGGAAGGCAATTGAAGAAATATGAGCAGAAGTCATTGTGTGGTAGGAACTGCTTACCAGCAAGGGAAAACCACGGGTGAAAAGCAACTGCCACATACTGAGAAGAGAGAGATTATCAGAAAGTGGGCTGCCTTGTGTGTTTGGAATGCACGATAGTTGTGTGTTCCTGTGTGTGCGTACCCTTCTATATGGGTGTAAATGTGTGATGTACACAGACCACACTAAGGGCGGTCAGGAGTGCAATGAGAGTTTTACCTTTTGAACTTACATTTTATTTATTTTTTTGCTCCAGTTGGCTATTGCTTAATAACACTAAATAAACCTAATAATACTAAATACGTTTCTTAGAAAAAGAAAGCACAAGCTTAAAAGCAGGTCATGGTGACATTTTCCACTTAACAACTTGGGTCATTTGGAGGATGTATTTACCTCCAGGCACTGGGCCTGTAATAAAGGTAGCCATGACTAAAGGCTTGTTAAACTCCCCTTGGCCCCCAGAGCAGAGCCCAGGATCCAAGAAATACTGCTTTTACCTCTAAAAATCGACTTAACACAATGGGGAGGGAGGAGAAGCTTCCCTTGTCTGTCTAATCATTAGCTAGTTGCTGTGATGCCCAGCTGTTGGGCAAACAGGAAAGCCTGGGAGATGGGGTGCTATTGGGACACTAGGGGGTTCACAGAAGGCTGCAGAGCAAGTGTGGTAGGAGAGAGCTAGTGAGCAAGTGTGGGAAATCCCGGTGGTTCGTTCTACAGAGGGCCTCTATACACAGCACACTTCAAATACTAGAGAGAAAAAGGCTGTATGTGGAGTTTAAATTCCAACTTTGGATCCTTGCAGCCTTTCAGCTACCCCTGTTTATGGAGAGCCTAGTGTGCCTAAAGTCACAGAGTACATAAATTACTGTTCTAAGGCAGCTTTGGAGAATAGGAATTTCCAGGCTTTTATACCCTGTGCCCGCTCCAATAAGAGAGGGCAGCCTGCACGATAGTGTTCCCCTTTCACAGAGCGGGCCAACAGTTTGCTTCTAGATAGAACCCAGGGCTTTCCAGAGTAGGCGAACATCTACTAAGGTAGAGCTTTGGTCCCTGTCCACTGGACTTAACTGTCTACAGAAAGCCAGGCATGTTAGCACATGCCTATAGTTACAGAGGCTGAGGCAGGAGAATCACTTAGGCTGAGGAACAAAGCATTGTTCTCATGCCCTTGCTGCTGCAATCCTGTGCTCTTCCTGGCACATGGGCCGCAGCTTCAGCGTCCAGCTGCCCTCAGCCGTCCCATCCCAGGCTGTCGTACACATCCGTTGGAAGAGATCCCACCCTCTAACTTGGTTAGAGCTTTTGAAAAGGACTAAGAACCTACCAAAAGATAAAAAAGTGGCCCACCATTTTACTATTTCAAAATTATTTCCTGTTAGCCTTATAATTTGTGTGCAGCCACAGAATGGGATACACTGTGCAGCATGCTCTACAGCCGGCTGGGAAGCAGAAGTCGTCTCTCAGGGGTGGCCGAGGCTGTGTGAGCCCCTGCACGCCTCTGTGAGCCCGCGGATAAGTGAGAGGGTGAGGAGGGGTGGACAGCGAGCCAGCTAGCAAAAGGATGACATTCTGCCGGCTCTTGTCATGTGATTCACATCCACTGCTCAAACTGCAAACACTTCGGGAACAAGTGTTCCTAATCTTCCTGAGTTTTCAAATGTGGATTTCTGAGAAGTAACCTTCTACCCAAAGCAAAGTTTCAGATTTGACTTTTCTAGCTCAGAGGTCTGCCAGGGGCTACAGGGAGGCTAATATCACAGGTGACAAGTGTGGCCATCTCACATGCTTTAAGACTGGTCTGTAAAGGGGCACATGGCCCCTCAGGTGCAGGAAACAAACCTGTCATGGGAATGACAACCCTCACAGTAACACTGTAGCATCAGTAATCACTACAAAATAAGAATGGACCCTGAGGTTTGAAGTGAGTCACCACCAAATACACACAGACAGTGAGCCCTTACTCCATGTTAGTAGCCCACCCCCAAGGCATAAGCTCAATTACAATTGTTTTGCTTTTTAAATGTCTACGGGTAGTGCAGAATGAAAGGAAGAACAAGGAGACAGTGAAAGCTCACCAGAAGTATTCCTAAACATGGACAGCCTGTGCCTCCTGTGTGTCTCTTGAGCTACATAAGAGAGAAAGCACTCAGGCAGGCAGCAGGACCTACCCCAGGGCCTTTGCACTCCTTCTCACTTAGAATACCTGAGTGGCTCCCTTCCTTTCTCCTCAATTGTCACCTTCTCAGTGAGGTCCCCCTGGACTCCCTTGGTAAAGTGTTTACAGTCTCCCCTCACTTCCATTCCCCCTCTGTTTTTCCATCCTCTTTAGCATCCATTACCATCTTACATATTCCACCAAGATATATAATGTAAACATTTAATCCTGCTTGCTTCCAAAGTATAATTTCACCACACCACAGCTTGTCAGTCCGCTACCCACAGCCCTGACCAACACCTAGAACCTCACCCAGCGCTAGTAGACGCTCTGTAAAGGTGTGCTGACTGAATAAATGATTGCTGTCTATTGTACAGTAGTACTTGCTGCTTGATGGTTCCCTGGCAGGGTTGGCATTTGTAGACCTGGAACCTCCCAGCTCTAGCCCTGGTCAGAACTGGTCAGCCCTGCCCAACCTTCCCGGCAGTCACAGGGAGCAGCTACACATAGGTTAGAGGGTTTAATCAAAGATGCAGTTTTCACTGCAGTAAGACATTGTAAAAATATTATTCCTTAAAAACAACCCAGTATTTCTCCACTTTTCTTGTTCTCTTCTAGGCTTGCTCCGTGTTCTGTTCATGTGACTCTCACCCTGCTGTGGCCTGTACTCCAGTCCCTGACACAAGGCAAGTCTGGACTGATGTAGAAAGTCCCTGCTCAACTAGCCATGACTTTGGAGAAAGCCCCGACCTCTGAGCGGACAGAAGGCCTGGACATCAGTGCGTGGGAGCCCTGGAGCCTGCATTGCTGGGACAGCTCCAAAAGACTGTGAAGCACAGGCTTGTCAGACCTGGAGAATAAAAGCATGTCTGCCACACCGTGGCCCTCTCTGCGGGAAGGGAGAGGCTAGGAGGGAACCTGGTGGGTGGGGTTATGGCTGGGACTCCTCTGGAACTTTCAGGGCAGGTGCCAGGCCCTGCTTACAGACTATGATAGGGCGGGGCCTCCATGCCTTGGGTGAGCAGATTCTCCCTTGCTTTCCCAGGAGGAAATAAAGAACTATCAGAATTGTGAGTCTGTGCCCCTTGACAGAGCAGTTTCACCTCTAAGAATTCCCTCTGCAGAGAAGTGTGCACATCGTGCCAAATGACGTCTGTTTAGACAAGGGATGCAGCAAAGACTCGAGATAGAATGGCTCTGGGTTCAAAATGCATTGTGTATCTGGACAATGAACACTGTCTTTTCACAAATAACAGGGGAGTGCCACATGAACTGAAGTGGAAACAGCTCCAAATGTATTAAGTTAAAAAAAAATAAAAGAGCAAATCATCGTGCAACATGGCTGTCTGTGATGTAAGACTGTGTGTGTGTGTCATCTCCTAGAAACAGAATAGTGGTCATCTCTGGGCAGGGAGCAAGGGGGATTCACTTTCCAGAACGGCCTGAGCCTTTCCTAACGTGTACCGAATGTGTATCTGTCTACCAGACTCTGTTAGAAATGTAAGGACTCCACCATTGACCTGGTGTTCACAACGATTAAGAACCAATACCAATCGTGACCCCTACTCCACCTCCAGGAGCCCGTGAACTCCTCAGAACAGAAAAGACAAAACAGAGTGCCCACTGGCTGGCTGAGCTGCAAATGGATGCTGGGTACCGAACAACTGCCAGAGTGAATGACTGCCACAGTCAGGAACAGTTGTCCCCCTCTGTTCCAGCTCCAGAGACAGCAGCCCTGCTCTTGGAAGTCTCACTCACCCACTTTAGGCTGAGAACTGCAATTGCTGTGTTTTCAGCTCTCGTATTTGGATTCCCTCTTCTTTTTTCTTTTTGTAAGAGAGGGTATCACTGTGTACCAGTCATGTCCGTGACTGTCCTGGAACTACACATAGACCAGGTGGGCCTTGATGTAGCCTCTGCCTCCTGAGTGTGTGTGTGGGGCTGTTTTCTTTTGTTATGTGTATGAGTGTTTTGCCTGCCTATATATTTGGTACCACATCTGTGCCTGGTGCCCTTGAAGGTCAGAAAAGGACATTGAATCCCCTGGAACTCGAGTTACAGGCAATGGAGAGCTACCACGTAGGTGCTGGGAACTGAACCTGGGTCCTCTATAAGGGCAGCAGCCTCTGGTCACTGAGCCATCTCTCCAGCCCTCCTCATTCTCTGCCTTTCTGTCAGTTTCTCGGTCTCTCCCCAAACCTCTGGCTTTGCTCTTCCCCTCCCAGGTCCGAGGCTGTTGTCTTCTACTCTCCCCCAGAAGGATCAGCTTTGCAGATGAGATCTTATCCAGCAAAGACACTCCCCTGGTACGGGATAATTATCTGTATTCTGTCAATCATGTATTTTAATAAAATGCTGATTGGCCAGGCAGGAAATATAGGCGGGTCAACCAGACAGGAAGTAGAGGTGGGACAATGAGAATAGGAGAAGGCTAGGGAGGAGAAGCACCCTCCACCATTCCCGCCCAGATCACCGAAGAGGCAACATGTGAGCTGTCACACTGAGAAAGGTACTGAGCCGTGTGGCTAACATAGATAATGATAATGGATTAATATAAGTTACAAGGACTAATAAGAAGCCTGACCTAATGGGCCAATCAGTTTATAACCTAATATAGACTCCGTGTGGTTTTCTTTGGAACTTGCCGGTTGTGGGGTACCAGGCAGGACAGAAACCCCAACAAGCCGGCCCTCATGTTATACTCCCCTGAGGACGTGTGCCCCTGGTTCACATTGTGATTGCTCACACTCCTTCTTCCCACCTTTCTCTGCACTCAGCCCAGCCACTCTGCTCAGATCTCCCAGCATCCATTTCCTACCGTGTCATCTCACACCTCCACTCACCAGAGTCCTAGAAAGGAGCCCAGTGGTCTACACAGAGTTCTATGATCTCACCAGGACCTTGGTCCCTCTGGTCACCCTGGCCTCCCCTTTTGCATTCCATCAGACGGCTTCCTTCCCCTTCCTGTTTGAAACCCAAGGCTCCCTCAGGATACAAGCTAACAGACCTAAAGTCATGGTCATGCTCTCGGTTTGCTGTGGCTCTGACATACAAGTGACCTTGCCCTGAATCAGCATGTGTTTCTCAGGTGTGAGCTATGCACAGAACTTAACTCCTTCTGGATGCAGACATCTGGATTGTGATTGCTCCCCTCCCAGCTGTGTAATTAAATGCTATGACCATGACAAAGTTACTTAACTTCTCCAGGTGTCATTTTTCTAATTTACAAAAAGGAGGGACTAGCAAGTCTGTTCCCATAAGGGTGTTACAAGGCTAAAAAGTATAGCATGCCCAGGGCCGAGCCTGGTCCACATCCAATTCTTAAGTTATTTTTAACCCAGAGAGAGACATGGCTTTGGAATAGTTTTTCTAGATGCTGTCCCGCACAGGTGTACCAACTACAAAGAGTGTCATCTGATCCTAGTGTATGGGAACCGTAGCTGTGTAACCAGAGTGTACACGAGAGGACTCCACCACATTTGATTCACATCAGTTCACCTGGTCCTGGGTCACAGGCAGGGTGAGAGGCCCACTCTGCTGTTCCTTCAGGATACACATTAAAGAGCTTTGTGAAAGCCACACAGGAGACTGGTGAAGGCAAACCTACCTAAGGCTCTATCTCCCAGCAGATAGAATGGTGGAAACAAACCATTGAAATCCACGCTTGGCACATTTTCCCTACAAAGGACCAAATAGCACATCCTTTATAGTTTATGGTTTATATGATGTCCCTTTCTTGTATTTCAGTGTGTGAGTGTGTGTGTGTGTGTGTGTGTGTGTGTGTGTGTGTGTGTGTTGAGAGAGAGAGAGAGAGAGAGAGAGAGAGAGTTTATCTTATTCCCCTGAGGCAGGGTCTCTCACTGAACCCAGGCTGACTGGCAGGTGAGGTCCTAGGATCCACCCGTCTCTGATCCCCAGCACTGGCTTAAAGGCCTGCACAGCCATGTACATCTTTTTTCACGGGTCCTGGGAATTTGAACTCAGGCCCTTCATGCTTGCTCAGCCCCTAGTGCCTCACTGCTTAGTGTTGTGGGCTTTGTTTAACAACCCTTTAAAACCAAAGCTAGGGGCTGGAGAGATGGCTCAGTGGTTGAGCGTGTATACTTCTTGTGCACAGGGCCTGCGTTCTGTACCCAGAATCCACTGGGAACACAGCATCCATGGATGGCTTAGAACCTATAACGAGTTCCAGAGGGACCTAGTGCCTCTGTCCACCACAGACAGCCTTACTCACATGCACATACCATGCCTCCTCCACACAACTAAAAATAAAAAAATTAAATTAATATAAAAATAATTCTTAGCACTAGGCTAATATAGGAAAGACCTCATGGGCTACTTTTGGCCTAAGGGCTGATAAAGATTATACTGATGAAGCAAAATGCTAACCTAATAAAATGGCTCTAGTTAAGAAACATTGACCTCTTACCTGTTCCTGTTAATATTTACTGAATGTTGCTGTGTGTAAAATCGTTACAAGGATCTTTACACACAGTATAAAAATACTCATTTAGTTCTCACTGTGACCTGAGTTGATAGGTGCTGTCGTTGGTTCTGTTTTATAATGGGGAAACTGAGGTACAGGAAGGTTAAAGAACTTCCTCAAGGTCCTATGGCCAGTAGCTGTTCAGCCCAGAACCGGCGGGCTGAGCCGTCTGCATTGACGCTCTATTTATTTGAGAGGGCGGGCAGCCTAAGTGGGAACTGCCAGCAACTCTGTTCTAAGTCGGTTTCAGAGCGGTCATCTTGACCTGGAGGGGCGTGGGCGCGCATCTCCAGTGAAGGAGGAAGCCTAGTCATCTTTCTCTGGTGCCGTTACAATGGAGGGCGCTCTGAGACCAGAGCGGCATCTTGACCTGGACCAGCGTGGGCGCACACCTCCGGTGTTCACCCAGGCCCCACAGGAGGAAGCCTGAGCGACTTTCCCTCGTGCCATTACAATGGAGGGTGCCGACTGCAGAGGCATCTTGATTTGAAAAAAAGCCCTTGATTGGATCTCATTAAATTTTAATCATAAACTGAATTCAAACTAAATTGAAACCTGGATGACAGAGCACAAACAAAGGGCAGTGATAAATGGCAATGCAACTGGGACGGGGACAGCGTCCAGGGGACATCTCCGAGGCAAGGACGGATGGGATGTAATGAAGGTGCTGTGTCCCTGGAAGAAGACAAATAGCAGACAAGGAACAGAGGAAGGGCAGCAGTGAGCAGCCTGAGTAATTAATAAACGCTGCCACTGCTCCTGAGTAATCAAGACTAGCTAGGCACCAACTGATTGGATTTGGGTTCGGTTTTTTTCAGGCATGGTTTCATGGAATCCAGCCTGGCCATGAAATCCTGATTCTCCTGCCTCCACCTCCTAAATGCTGAGATTATAGGCAAGCCCCATTATACCAGACTATTTTTGTTTTTATCTATTTATTTATTTATTGGTTTTTCAAGACAGGATTTCTCTGTAGCTTTGGAGCCTGTCCTGGAACTCACTGTTGTAGACCAGGCTGGCCTTGAACTCACAGAAATCCCCCTGCCTCTACCTCCTGAGTGCTAGGATTAAAGGTGTGCACCACCACTGCCTGGCTGAATTTTTTTTTCATCTGTATGTATGTATGTCGACACATGCAGTACACATGTGTGTGTGCTTGTGAAGGCCCAAGGTGGACACCAAGTATGTCGCCCAGTTGCAGGGACATGTGTGTGGAGGACCGAGCCTGACACCAGTGACTTCCTCGGTCGCTCTCCACCTTCTGTAACGAGGCAGAGTTTCTCCCACCTGGACTTTGTGGGTAGAATGGCTAGCCAACTTGCTCCAGGAATTTCCTGTCTCTGCCGCTAAACAATGGGGCTCTAGGGGGTCTGCCACACCCACTTGACTCGTAGGTGGGTTCTGGAGATCTGAACTCCAGTCCTGAATTTATTTCGTTCTTTAAAAAAAAAAATTACAGTTTGGGTTACTGATAAAGTTGAAGAGTCCTAGAGACATATAGCATGAATATTTTAGGGGGCCATAATAAATAGCATATACATTTATAGTTGGGAGGGTCCTGAAATCCAATTTGGATCAGATACTTTTAATTACAGATCCTTGGGGTATTTTTTTTTTTACTCTCTAGGGGATAATTTAAATTTTCTTTTTACATTTATTTTTTTTATATGGTGTATTGCCATGGCACCCATACACAGGTCAGCAGACAACCAGGCAGGAGTCTGCTCTCCATTTTCTACCATGTAGATCCCTGACATCAGACTCAGTCTGTCAGCCGGGTGGCATGCACCTTTAGGAGCTGAGCCATATTCTTGCTGGCCCCCAAAGAGTCATTATGTGTGTGTCTAAAAC